TCTGGGTCACCTCCTTATCAGCCCTAACATTCTGTGACAATACTGCTGTGTAGTTCACGCTATGTCCCTCCTCTGAGGGACACACAGAACCACACCACAGAAGCATGGAATCTCAGAGGAATAAGAGCCACAGAAATCATCTAATCCAAACACTTCTTTTTATTAACTGAGGAGCAAAATAACCCATCCAAGCATCCTACAGCAATCCAGCAGAATAGCCAGGCTTAGAACATAAGTCTCCTGACTACCAGCTTCAGGATTCTTTCAAAGACACCACATGACCTCCCTATCAGAAGAATAGAGAAATTTCAAAACAAGAGAGGTCTGACTCTTCTTTCTAGCACAATGCAGCTAATCACCTAATAAATGTCATCCCGAAGAGAAAAGAAGAGGCACCCTGACCCACTCTCAGCAGGGCACATACTTTAGAGTTGTTATTCCAAGATCAGGGATAGAGTTACACTGAACGATCCATATTCTATCATCAGATTCCCCTTGTGGCCAAAATAGGCTCAAGGATTTGAGTCCATAATACAGACAAGAAACAAAATGAACAGGGAACCCCATGTGAGGATCCCAATGTGCCTTTGTTTGTTGCCTGAGGTTGTGCTACAAATGAGATAGAAACCACTAAGACCCCAAGCACTGTATTTACCTTATCCTGAAACACGGCTCTCACTGTGTAACACTTATTCAGTGTAGAAGAAATGTAATTCAAATATCACCAGGAGTGTTTTCAAAAAAGACAAACTGCTATAAACACCCTGGAAGAAAATAATTCCAACAAAACCGAACTGGTTAGTGGTAGATTATCAGTACCAAAAGACCCCGGGTGGGCCAGCCCTGGGAAGAGGACATGTCCCCGCACTTATGAAGAACAAACAGTACCCTTCAGAAGGCCTTAGTTTACATATCTTGATGTGTTTGATCAAAAGTGCCTTGACTTCTTCCTTGCCTTTTTTCTTTTTTTACCTTGTTATGTAACATGACCAGCTGATATGACTATTACAAATTTTCAATATTCCATTGCCTCCCTCTTTATATGGGTGAGCCAATGCCATTTAGAACCTCCCAACATTTATGAAATCATCCAAAGGCTTCATTTTATTGACACAAAGAAAGCAGCTTACTGCTCATATTACTGAACCTTGCCTATCTAAGCAGAGATTATGCCCCACAAGACGTTTTTTCTGGCCAAACCAAACAGTTGCCCAATTAATTTCAGTCGGCTGTGCTTGGAAGCGCCCAAAGAAGATCAGGTTTCTCACGTGATTGTCCCACTAGGGATAAGCTAGCCACTCTCTCTCTTGCAAAACCAGTGGAAAACAAGAAACTTGCTTAGACTGAACATCAACTTACCTTTCATGTAGGCTTCAATTTTTCGAATAAGTTCATAAGACTTGGATCGATCCAGAAGGGTCCTAATGGCAGGGAGGGGATCCAGAATGATGGTCTCAGGGTGAGCATCAATATATTCCTGAAAGGAAAAATATTTTCATTTGAAAGGAAGCTAGGTGGCATAGTGGATAGAATGCTAGACTCAGAGGCAAGAAGATGAGGCATTAACTAGCTCAATTTCTTCACTGGTAGAAAGTGGGAGTAACAGCACCTATTTCATAAGGTTGTTGTGAAAAAGAAAAGAGATAATATGTAATGCTGTGCTTTGCATACTGTAAACTGCTATATAAATGCTAGTGGTGGTGGTGATGATGAGGATGATGATGATGATGATGACGACGACGATGCATTGAAGACAAAGCAGTGAAGGATATTTACTGTCAGGAAGTTGCAATTCAGTCAAAGAAGGAGTCTTTCTTTCCAGTGACAACATGACAGCATCTTGATTCAAGAGATTATTAACTGAGGTTCCATTAATAACTCTGTAATACCTGAAGGTTTTCAAAGCACTTTCCTCACAACCACGTTGTGAAATAAGAGGTATAAGTATGATTCCCACTTTACAGATGGAGTTAAGGTGTTCAGAGACATGAAATGACATATCCAAGGTCACATAACTAGTTCTAAATCCTAATGCCAGTCCAGTTCTCATTCAGTTAAAAGAATATATTGCCTTTTTACATGCCAAGGACCAAATCAAGTGCTTTCAAATACTAAGGAAGAAGCATTTACTCAGCACATATTATGGTTCTAGGCAATGTGCTAGGGAAAGGAGACAGGAAAAGTGTGGCATAATCACTGCCTACCAAACAGCTAGAAAACAGAAGACAATCAAGACGCGGCGAAGTTCAGTCTTGACAACAGACCAGGCGTTAGTCTTGCACTGTCTGCAAGTGTTTCCTATTGTCCACTAAGCAAAGTTTGAAACTCTAGCAGTTAACATTCAAACATGCTTCCACAAGCAATATCCCTACGTTTTCAATCTTATTCCATATGGGGGAGAACCCACCATATCTGGCTGGCCCAGGAAACTGACACTGCTTTCACTTCCATCACTCTTCCCATTGAGCTGTCCCTCCCATGTCCCTCCCATGTCCCTCCCATGTCCCTCACCTCCTTTCCATCCCATCACTCTGGGAAAAGAAATCCAAGCAATACTACCATACCTTCTAAAAAGGGTGAGTCACTCCACTGCCTAATGGCCGCACCCACACACCCCCATGACTTTCTAGAACAATATATCTTCGGAGTCGACTCCTCAATTAGATTACTTGAACTGAAAAACGAGAGGCAAGGAATAACAATAATAACCACAGCCACTACTACCACCACTACTACCCTCAGTACCACCACCACCACCACCACCACCACAATAAAAAAGTAACAACAACAGCAACAACAACAATAACTAGCATTTATATAGCTCTTTAAGGTCTACCAAGCACTTACAAATATTATTTTGTACTCACAAGACTGAGAGGCAGGTACTATTAGTATAAGCATTATTATTATCTAATTATTAATGTATCTTTGTGCATTAACATAATTCTATATTATACATATAATATATTAATATTGTTGTTCTTCAGTTGTGTCCAATTCTTCCTGACCCCATTTGGGGTTTTCTTGCCAAAGATACTAGGGTGATTTGCCATTTCCTTCTCCAGCTCATGTTACTGATGATGAAACTGGGACAAACAGGATTAAGTGAATTAGCCAGGTTCACACAGCTAGTAAATGTACGAGGCCACACCTGAACTCATGTCTTCCTGACTGAAGACCTAGAACTCTATCCACTGCGCCACCTAGCTGCCACATATTAATATATACTGTTACAATTCTCTATTAATATTAACAAATAATAGCTGGCATTTATATAATGTTTACTATGTATCTGGCACTATGCTTAAGCACTTTATAATTATTATCTCATTTGAGCCTCACAACAAACCTGGAAGGTAGGTGCTATTATCCCCATTTTACAGATCTTAAAACTGCAAACAAAGGCTAAGTGACTTGCCCAGAGTCACGTAGTAAGTGCCTGAGGTAGGATTTGAACTCAGGTCTTCCTAACTCCAGGCTCAACCCTCTATCCACTGCACCACCTAGCTGCCCCCTAATCACCATTTCTTTAAAGTGCTCATATTGTATCTGTTTAATGATCTGTTCTAGTATATTGCCAAGAAAGATCATCAAACTTAACTGGTTTTTAGTTTCCATGATTCACATCTTTGCCCTTTTTGAAAATGGCAACGTTTGCCTATTTCCAGGCTTCTGGCAATGCTCTATTTCTCTAGAGATTCCATGATGACATCTCTCCAAAGTACCTTTATTATGTAAAAAATAATTCATCCAGGCCAGGTGACTTTCACACATTTAAAGTCCTTGATACTTTTCAAAGTGCTTTTCACATACATCTTGTTAAATGATCAAACCAGCCTATGACATAGAAAGAGTAGGATAAATCATCCTTATTTTACGGATAAGTGCACTAAGGCTCAAAGATGAGATGTGTCTTGTCCAATATCCTGTAGTTAATTAGTAAACAGAGCCAAAAAATCAAGTTCTCACACTCCAAATGCAGAGCTCCTTCCACAATATGATGATGCCTCCCCTTGAACACAAAAGTTCTCATCTACCAGGTTCCTACTCACAAAGCCAGCGATTTATCACATGCATATGCTTTCTTTGGTGTCTATTCTACCCTGTCCAGGGTAGTAGGGAAAACAGGATGGATGACAAAAGCAGCAAAATAGACTCCGAAATATTTTATAATGTCTACAGTAAGTTTAAATGGAATTTCTCTTTCTATCTCCTGCTGTTGGGCTTTGTTGGTAATATATAGAAATGCCAATGATTTATGTAGGTTTATTTTATAGCCTGCAACTTTGCTACAGTTGTTTCTTATTTCAAGTGGTTTTTTACTTGATTCTCTAGGATTCTCTAAGTATATCATCATGTCATCTGCAAAGAGTGATAGCTTTGTTTCTTCTTTGCCTATTCTAATACCTTCAATTTCTTTTTCTTCTCTTATTGCTAAAGCTAATGTTTCCATATTGAACAGCAGGGATGATAATGGACATCCTTGTTTCACCTCCAATTTTACTGGAAATGCTTCCAGCTTGTCCCCATTACATGTGATGCTTGCTGAAGGTTTTAGGTAGATGCTATTTATTATTTTAAGGAAGACTCCATTTATTCTTATGATCTCTAGTGTTTTTAACAGGAATGGGTATCGTATTTTGTCAAAAGCTTTTTCTGCATCTATTGAGATGATCATACGGCTTCTGTTAGTTTTGGTGTTGATACGATCAATTATGCTGATAGTTTTCCTAATATTGAACCAGCCCTGCATTCCTGGTATAAATCCTACCTGGTCATAGTGTATTATTCCTGTGATAAGCTGCTGTAATCTATTTGCTAATATTTTGTTTAAAATTTCTGCATCTATATTCATTAGAGAAATTGGTCTATAGTTTTCTTTCTCTGTTTTGACTCTTCCTGGTTTAGGTATCAGCACCATATTTGTATCATAAAAAGAATTTGATAAGACTCTTATTTTTCCAAATAGTCTATATAGAATTGGAATTAATTGTACTTTAAATGTTTGATAGAATTCGAATGTAAATCCATCTGGCCCTGGAGATTTTTTCCTAGGGAGTTCATCAATGGCATCTATCATACCGCATACCTCAACAAGCTCAAAATGAATATATGGCCTATAAAAAGTTATTTCATTTTTTAAAAATTAAAAAAGAGCAAGAGATAGAGAACTTCCCAGAAACTCTATGAACACAATTACAAAACACTTTTCACACAAATAAAGTCAGATCTAAATAACTGGAAAAACATCAGTTGCTCATGGGTAGGCCAAGCTAATATAATAAAAATGACAATTCTACCTAAGTTAATTAACTTATTCAGTGCCATACCAATCAAACTATCAAAAATTATTTTATACAGTTAGAAAAAATAATAACAAGATTCATTTGGAAGAACAAAAGGTCCAGAATATCAAGGGAACTAATGAAAAGAAATGCAGGGGAAGGTGACCTAGCCATTCCAGATCTTAAATTGTATTATAAAGCAGCAAGCATCAAAACTGCTTGATACTTGCTAAGAAACAGAGTGCTGCATCAGTGGAAGAGGTTAAATATGCAAGACACAGTAGTCAATAACTATAAGTAATCTTTTATTTGATAAACCCAAAGACCCCAGCTTCTGGGATAAGAACCCATTCTTTGAAAACAACTGCTGGGAAAACTAGAAAAGAGTATGGCAGAAACTAGGCATAGATCAAAATCTCACACCATATATCAAAATAAAGTCAAAATGGGTTCATGATTTAGATATAAAGGCTGATACTATAAGCAAACTGGTAGAGCAAGGAATAGTTAAATTTTTGCACAAACAAAGCGAATGCAACTAAGATTAGAAGGAAGGTAGAAAATTGGGAAAGAATTTTTACAACCAGGATCAAAGGATATGAACAGGCAGTTCTCAGTTGAAGAAATTAAAGCCATCTATAGTCATATGCAAATCAAAACAACTCTGAGGTACCACATCACACCTATCAGATTGGCCAAGATGACAAAACAAGAAAATGATATATGTTGGAGAAGATGTGGGAAAATTGGAACACTAATGCATTGTTGGTGAGGTTGTGAACAATTTGGAACTATGCCCAAAGGGCTATAGAAATGTGCATACGGGGGCTGCTAGGTGGCGCAGTGGATTGAGCACCGGACCTGAAGTTAGGAGGACCTGAGTTCAAATCTGGCCTCAAACCAAACACTTGACACTTACTAGCTGTGTAACCCTGAGCAAGTCACTTAACCCCAACTGCCTAAAAATAAAAAAAAATTTAAAAATAACAATAATATGCTAAAAAAAAAAAAAGTGCATACCCTTTGACCCAGCAATAACCCTTCTAGGGCTATATCCCAAAGAGATCATACAAATGGGAAACGGACCCATATGTACAAAAATATTCATAGCAGCTCTTTTTGTGGTGGCAGAGAACTGGAAATTGAGAGGATGCCCATCAATTGGGGAATGGCTGAGCAAGTTGTGGCATAT